ATTTAGATTGATATTCAATTACTTGAAAAAAAAAAAGCTTCCAGTTGTATTATTTAGATTGATATTCAATTACTTGACTTATTCTTTTTAAACAAAAATAAAACATTCATTTGCTTTATAAAACATGGAGGAACATCACTGTTTCACATGATTACTCAGTGCTAACTTTACCACATCTCATCCATAGGGCCAGTACAAAGAGACACCTACTGTTTCACGTGTATTTGAAAAAAAAGGCAAGATGACTCAGGAATGCATATATTGCTTCATGAAGTCATGCCTTGCAAAACTTTAAAGTTAACTTTATGCTTATGCATCAGATTATTTTGCTTTTTCTGCCCAAAATTTCTAATGCTTTCTATTGCAATTAGAAAAGGTGGCAACTTCCTTACTGTGGTCAGACTACATTACCTCAGTGACTTGAGCACAGGCTAACTCTTTTATATAACTTCTTACCATTCTCCTCTTGCTGAGTACTGTCTAGTCACACTGGCTTTAATCTTGTTTCTTAATTATGTCAAGTTCACTTTAATCTTTGAACATTTCCATTTCTTTATGCTTTAAGAAACTAGATTTTAAAATTCTTAAACTTTAATGAATGCATGCATTTATCCGAGTCCCAAAATAAAAGACAGTGTTAGAAGTACAAAGCTCTAGAACATTACCACCTTATCTAAGCACATATATTTACTTGTAATGCAGCAACACTCCTATTTCCTTACTTTTTTAGTATTCTTGGGAATTTCTCCTACTCATTCTTAAGACAAAACTTCTACTATTTGTAATTCCTTAATGTTCGTTTCCATTATCCCTCAAATTTTTTCTTGAGTTAATATTTTAGCTTATAAATATTGTTGAAAATTCACTTGCATTCACCATATTTTTTCTGATTTTTAGTAAGAAGTTAGATTTACTTTTGTTTAGATTCTCTTACTTTTCTATTATATGGATTTTTCTGGGTACTATTTGATTCTTTCTGGTCAGTGTACTCAATAGATGTCAAAAATATGACATAATTTGAAAGGAGTAGAGCTAAACTGATGCCAGACTAACAACATTTGAGAAAGTCCAAAAAAAACATCTTTTACATATAACAAAACTTTTATTAGAAAATCAGATGCAATTTTTGTTTGAATAATAGTCTCTATGAATATAATATTTTACTATGAGTTAAAACACAGAGAGGAAGTTATAGATAGGTGACATAATTTTCTGTAATGAATCAGGAATGGCTAGAACTATGACCCTTCTCACTACGATCAAAACAACATCGTTCCCTTCCCTAATTACTAAAACTTCACTCTTGTCCTGAGGACAAATTTAAAAATTAGAGCGTTAATTTTTAATAGGTTTCTCAACTTATTTCAAATACAAGCACTTAGGCAGGACAAAAATGAAAACAGATTTTCCAGAGAAGTATAGTAACTTATTTAGGTCTAAAAACATGTTTTTGTTTGTTTTGACTAAAGGTCTATAACTATCAAATAATTTTCCTAATAGTTAAAAATAAAACAAATTAAAGACACTGGCAAGCTGCCTGGCTGTATTAGGTACTTACCGATTTTTTCCAACTGCTTAGATACATGTAAAGAGTTTTCCCAAAGTCTGCATCTAAAACATTTTGCTAAAATCAAACTATTCAGTAGTACATCAAATTTCTTTTCTTGAGAAGCCACAAAATCTGACAACCCTAAAAAACAGTTTCCAATATTAAATAGTATACTACATTTCTGGACAATTATTGTAAATCCCATTAATCACTGTAACCTACATTTTGTAATTCGTGAGCCACTTCTGAAAATCTTAGAAGTATCTTGTGTCAAAGCAAAGTCTTGTATAGGAATGCATCCTAGCTGAGCTTGAATAAGACTGAAGGAAAGGAGAAATTTCATTATTTCTTTAGAATAATTATTTCACAGTATTTGACATCAGTTACTTAAGTATATGTTCTTAAAATTTCTTTCTGCTTTGATTTCTGGGACACTACATGATTGTCTATCTTGTATCATGTTGCTGCAAGTCACTGCTGAGAAATATTATATAACACTAATGAGAAAAAAGAAATCCCACTCAATATTGATTCAAGGACCTATTTCTATTAAGCACTGTCTCACTTAAAATTGCAGTTTCCAGGAACCTATGGAGCTAAGTGAGGATTTACTATGAATTTGCAAAATTCTGTCTTGAGAAGACAAAATAGTTATTCTGAAGCCCTCTCTTCTCCCTAAATATAAAAGGTGTGTAGAAAGGACAGAAACAGGAGCAACATAGCAAATGGAATCTTCCCAAATCATTCCTCTTTAATTGCTCATTCAAGTTAAATAAGTAAAATGTAAATCTTCTAATAGTAAGGGTTTTTTTTTTAATCATTTACTTTGTCACATCAGGGCATAGTCTCAATAAATGTTTGTTGACAAAGAAAAATTCAAGTCAATTTAATAAAAGTGCAAAAGATTTTGGGAATTAATTTCACATTTGTATTCTGACTCCATATTTTTATGTAAGTATCTTCTTTTGTATTAAGGTTACAAAATTTTAAATGTTAAAAAACCTCAAAAATTAATTACAAACAAGTAGCATTTAAGACATTTCAGAATTATCTTTACCAATTTACTTTCATTTCCCTTGTTTTAATTCTTCCTTCCATTGGAAATCTATAAATAAAAACATAGGTAAAGTTTTTTTTAATTATTTAACTAAATGAAATATTTTTTAAATTATTCAAAATATATTTAATAATGTACCTGATAGTGAGCCGATTTGGATCTTTATTCAAAGTATTCAGTGTTTTCTTTTCATTTGTCCTTAACTGTATATCCAGAAATTCCTTACAGCTGGCTATCATTGTGATCTATAAAATTTTAGCATGTGTCCGTTAAGTACATCCTTTACTCTTTTCTTCTCATCTTTCTCTGATTTATTTTTCACGCTGCCTTGGTATAGCATACTTTTGTTATTTATATAATAGAAGCACTTGTTATATGCCTGACATTGTGCTAGATAACTGGTACTATACCAGTAAGATAAAGTTAATAAGGATTGACAAAATATCAAATATTCAGCCAAGTGTCCAACACATGGAAAGTACTCAAAAAAGGTAGCTTCTGTTACTATACTATTATTACTATCAAATTATTATTCTTTTTATCTCAATTTAGGCTAATTTTATAACAGAAAGAACTGTAAATATTAAGAAATTTATGTTCTAGAAACTGTTTCTGTGAGATGACTTTGACCTGTGCTTTTATTTCACACATCTATAAAATAAAACTAATATACAAGTTTTAATTCTCTTACACAATTACTGAACTCAAAATCAGATGAGTTAATGTCACCATCAAGGATTTTCTACTATTTCTTCTTGGTTAGCAAGTAATACTATGTGCCTGCCTAGTGGCACATGGGGTTAAGTCTCAGCACTATGAAGCTATCTGCAGCCACTGCAGCACAAGTTTGATCCCCTGCCAGGGAGCTAACCCACATAACACAGTGACCTCTCCTGTCTTGTCTGCTGCTCCTCTCAGCAGTGTTTTTCAGTAAATCTGTCTGTTCTGCTCCTCACTCTGTCTCTGGTGGTCTCTCACCTCCTGCACCTCTGGCCTGTACCCCAGTTCTTGTATGCATAAATAAATAAATCTTTTTTAAAAAATAAGAAATAATACTATTAATAATACAAACCTATTTTTCATCATTTTTGTGTGAAAATTTTAGTTTAAATAATCTTAAAATAATCCATTTAGATTGTTTAATGTCATGGTTTAAATTTGAGATTTTTAAAATAAGTATCTTATTTCAAACTTATATCTTTAGTAAAGGGAGAAAGAACCAATACAGTAACCAGGTACCAACAATGATTATTGTTCTAATGCCTTTTTACTTGCAGTTGCCTCCCATTGTAGATAGCTTTGTATGACTTGTTTTTACTCTTATTTTTCCCTACAATCAATACTCTTTTCTTGAGGAGTGTGGGTTACTACCAAATACTATTTCTGCTTTTACTGTGACTCGCATGCAAATGATTTAGAGAGGGATTGTTAGTACATGGCACACATGTCCCTCATTATCTCATACTCATGGCAATCTTTCCCTCATTATCTCATATTCATGGCAATCTTTCCTAATGTACATGTCACATGGTCTTCGCATCATTCTCAACAATTATGCTTGGTAACCATCACCAAAGTAATAGGGATTATCATTTAAGGTTATACTACTTTGGGTATGTATAGTACATTCTTTAGCTCTCTTACAAAGATACAAATGAAAATGTACTATAAGGAGGAATAGTCTATGTCTCAGGATCAAAGGCAGATAAAGGGAAGACTAAGCACTATTAGAAATGCTTTCTCTTTTATTCATTTTATTTAAATCCCATGAGATATACACATTAGTTGTTTCTCCAATTTAATTTTAAATTATATCATTATGTATTTGTTTTCTAAAGAAAATTTACCAAATCTGATAAAGTTTCTTTTCCACTGATTGCACAAAATTTCTTCACTGTCTCAAATGTAATATAATACCAAGCCATCAATCTTCCTGCCTCTGTGGGAAAAGATGGAAAATAAACATGGACCCTCATCAGTTGAAACAACTTGCTTTGTCATTATTTAGCAAACATTTTCTTAGCATCTTTATATATGTGTGTGTGTGTATGTATATATATATATATATATATATATACACACATCTACACACATATGCATATAAATATAATTACATATCTATATTTTACATATATACAAACATTCTATTGGTTCTATTTCTTTGAAAAACCCTGATATCCATTAAAAGCTATTACAAGTCATGCCAGGGAAAATGGTGTATCATAAGTGCAATTTTTTTATTGTACAGATGATTCTCACATTTACCATTTGCATATGAGGTATACTACTAAATATATGCTGCAATAGATTGTACTAGAAGCTAAAAATTAAGAGTTATTTATCTTAAGAAGTTAGTAAAAGAACAGAAAAGTAAAATTAAAGAAAGCAGAAGTGAGGTAGAATAGAAATGAGTGAAATAGAAGTAACTATACCAAACAAAAGTTCAGCAAAGTAAAAAGTTGATTCTTTAAGAAAATTGAAAAATTAATAAAATTCTATAAGGCATGATTATAAAAGAAGAAAGAAGGCACTAATTATAAATGACAATTCAAAATATTTTTAATTTTCCTTGAATTTACTATTTGACCTATGGTTCATTTAGTAGTGTACACACTAAAAAAAGTGAGTTTTATTCTAGTAAATTTTTCAAAATAAAGAAATGCTGTAAAAAATTTTAAGTTGCTAAGAAAGTCCTTTACTAACTAGAGATTAAGATAAAAGCTCTATGTTCTTTCATTTTAAAAAGCTTTATTTAAAAATATTTAGTTACTGAATCTATTTACTATTTATTTTTGCATATAACAATGTTTCCCAAATTGTGTTCTATAACACTAGTCTTGTTTGCAATATCAATGAATGTTCCATTAAAAAAAATTATGTAGCAAACAGAATGTAAAAATTCTAACTTAGCCAAATTAAACTCTTCTTACTACCTTTATCTTAGTATCTATAGTATGTTACTGAATTCCATAAATCTTTTACAGAAGACAGAAAATGCAGTTTTAATGTAAATATTTACTTTGGAATCTTTTCCACAATCAGGACATTCACTGAGATAAGCTAGAACATGGCATGAAGGGCTAAATTGATTTTCACTTATTGAAACATCAATCCCACAGCAGCAGTTCTCAATTTAAACTACAGAAGCAACATCTGGGAACAGTCTTAAAACTACAAATTCCTAGGTTTTACTCCTGAGTGTTGTATGTTTAACATATGAGTATCCTCTGTTGATTTTGCCAAGTTAACCCAGTTAATTTTGACAATAGTAGTTAACCCAATGGCACTTGAAGACACATTAACTTAGGAAATGATAAGGTGTATTTTCAGTTCTAATTTTGGATTACCCATTCAGCTCTAAGAAGTGAAAGAGAAATCATAAAACAATATTTTATTATATTAGATGTGGCAGAATGGTTATTCTATTGAGATTGATAGCCAGGTGTGGATATATTTTCCTTATCTTGGGCATTAGATACAAAAATTGATACTAATAATGAAACAATTATATATTCATTTTCTTATTTGATCATAGTAACCCTTTAAGGTAAGTAAGAGGTACAGATGAAAAAACTAAGGCTCAGTAAACATAAAGTCAGCTACCAAGTGGTACAACTGTGACTGAAATCCAGGTTTCTGGAACCCAAGTTCTGATTGCCTCAAAGTATTCCAGGGCAAATGAATTGTTATTTCTGCAGGATGTCAAGTTCTATGTCATATGTGTAAGTAAAATCTCTAACAGAAAATTGAGGATAAAATTTTGTGGCAAAGGTAAGAAAAGAGGCTAAGAAATAAAGTGAGTTAATTTACATATGGCTACAGCTGAAGCTATGAAGGTAAATTATGTTTTCAAAGAAATAAGCATCAACTAGGGATACAGATCTAAGGTCTGTAACTTTAAGAAGCTCATAGTACAGCAAAAAGGACAGAAAAGAGAGACCAATTAAAGCAGCAGAGAGAATCAAAGGAGTAGAGTATTGAGGAATGGAAAGAAGAAAAAAATACCATATAAATCACATATTAGTATGTTTAAAGTCAAAAAGAATGGTAGCAATTAATTCAAGAAGGGGAGGAATAACAGTGGGAACAAGAATCTTGAGAGTGGAAGTACCTAAAAATAAAGAAAATTACATTAGTGGCTCTCATCCCTCTCTAATGAGACACCCTAGAATACACAGAAGATAATTTTTACAAACAAAATTAGGTTTATCAGAATAAGGACCAGGGGAATAGAAAAAAAAATGTTATATCAAGGGCTAGGAGTGCAGTAATTTATTTTTTAAAGCTAACCTTATTTTAAATACCATCAAACATGTATGATACAAATCATACACTTCTTTATTATGGTTATAAATATAAAATATAAGAACACATTAAAAACTGAAAATACATGTCAAATGATAACTGTCAAATTCTGATTTTTCAAAACCTTTCTATACTTCCTATTATAAAGTTTTCTTAAAAGAATTAATAAAATCAATATTTTCCTCCAAGAAACTTCTAATCATGAATGCTAAAAGCTACAGAATATTGTTACTCTCTTACATTATATTTAGAATATAACGGGGGAAGAAGAGGGAGGGAGAAAATGAAGCAAGTAAGAGAGCAAGAATAAATATGAATTTAATGAAATATTAAGGAACCATCCAGATAATCAATGCTTGAGTAACTAAAAACTGGCAAAAGACTACTATAAGAGTTATGACAGTTTTGAAGTAGCCAAGTATTTCAGCATTTCAACCCTCTAGTAAAAGTCATTGGAATCAGTAAAGACAAATTTTGTGCCTATCAAAAAGTTCTATAATTTTATAAGCAGGCCTATATCATGCTGTAAATCTATCATTCTTATAAGATGATAACCTGTTAAGAATAGAGCTCACGATTTAATTTTAGCAGAACATACTTTCTTGTTAAGGCTCATGTAAGGAATTCTTCCTTTACTAATGATAGAAAAATTACCAGTTGGTTTGCAATTAATGTCGTCATCCATCTTTATTAAATCAAGAGATGATAAATCATTCAGATTCCTCAAACATAATTCTGTTCAATTAAAGAAAACATTTATTTTAGTAAAATAAGGAAAGAAAAAGGTTTTCTAATAGTACAATAATACAAATAATTAACACTCAATAAGCAATAAAATCCATCTATTATTTGGAGCTTTAAATTGATGTATGTGCATACAACTATTTAAATAGATTTTCTTTACTATCTGAAAGTACAATGTTCCTGTTGGGTATTTGGTAGGTTGGGAATGCTCAAAAATTATTCCATGTACATTGGTGGTTAACAAACATTTTTGTTTTGCTGGAACTGCCTCAATACCATGAAGAGATAGTAATTTCTAATTTTAATAAATGCTTAACCACCATTTAATATTTTTAAAGATAGGTAATGAAATACTGAGTGATTAACTGACAAAAACACTGAGGTTTTATAGGGATACATCACTAGCAAAGACTAGCATAAGAAGCTGTAGATTTAGTCTTCCTAACAGGGCCAGATACCTTTTTCCAGATACCCCCCACCCCTTTTATTACCTAGAAGAATGTAGCTGAGGGGTCTCAATTAGTAGTAAATTTATCAGTGAACTCTCATCTTTACTCTCAGACCAGGAAGTAACCCCAACTTCTATCATTTGTGAAACCTCCCAGTTCTCCTTGACATCCCAGATCCCAAAATGCTGGATAAATATCTCTGGTTCAGGGCCCTCCCTGGTGGCACATTGGGTTAAAAACACAGTACTATGAAGCTATCAGCAGCTGTCTCCCAGGCCAGGGAGGTGACCAACATTGGGCAGCACACCTCTCCTGTCTCACCTACTACTCCCCTCAGCATGTACTGCTCCATACTCTGTCTCTGGTGAATTCTCTCACCACCCTGCTCCTCTGACCTGTACCCCAGTTATGTATGCATAAATAAATAAATTTTTAAAAAAATCTCTGATTCTCTCCAATATTCTTTAATATTTACAGCCATGTAAATTCCCCATACATATTGAACTAATTTTTCCTTTGCTGTCCCATCTAATGCTGTTTTGATTACTTGTCCAACCCAAGAGGGTTAAAAGATGATTTCCTTTGCATACTGACAAAACCATAATAAAGGTAAGTTTGTATTTTCAATTAAAATTAAGATATAAAAGAAAAATAGCATTTTAAAAAAACAGAGTCCTTTTAAAATAAAAAGAAATGAAATTAACAGATTCTATAAATGAAGGTATTCTGATAGAATAAATGAATTAATTAAAGAAAATGTATAGGTACTAAGCTTCATTTGCATGTGGAAAAGAAACAAATCATACTTTTTCCTTCAAATCACAAGATTATTTAAGAAAATTTACAAGAGTCTTTCATTAAAATTTATGGAATACAATTTTTTATTAAGAAATACATCTAACCTTGTAATTTGGCTTCAATTCCATCTTTGTTCAATCCAGATACAAAACCTATTTGTTATGAAATTTATAAGAAAAATTAAATTGGACTTAATTCATCTTTATAAGCTCAGTTTATACCTGGTAACTAGAAAAAGTTTAAATTAAATTTTAATTGTGAAAATTCTTACATTAAATCTTATATGGGAAAAACAACAGATTGGTGAGCTAGAAGGAGGCTTAAACATCTAAAAAAATAAAATATTAAGTCAATATCAAATATCTTTTGGTTACTTTATTGCATAACAACATGACCAGGAATAGATGTATTTTTTTCCTTTTGGAGATTTAAACTTTTTCAATCTATATGCAGTAGAATGAAACTGTAATGAGTAAGGTTTCAATTTGATATTCAACAATTTATTTTATAGCCTATATCACATGAAAGACCTCTCTAAATGCAACATAACCAGGTATGTGTTAGCTTCAGAAACAGGATAAAAATTCCAGCAGCAGTAATAACAGTGCACATATTTTGATTTGAATGTCAGATTAGATAAAATTCAAGACTTTTAAAAAACTTTAACTTACTTTAAATAATTCTTGGCAGTTTTGTTATTTTGACTTGAGTTAAACTTTTTCTAAAATACTTATATTTGTGTTGATTTCAAATCTTATTAAAAAACTAATAGTAAAATAAAGATCATTCACATGTCTATTCTTGCATCTAGATGTATTTGCGACTGCTGTTACTTTTTGTTTCTGTTACCTCTTAGTTTCTGTAATCTATTCTGTGACTTAGTAGAATAAATACTGACCCAACAGGTTTGAAAATATTATTAGTTTTACCATAATGAGATGGATTTTTCAAGGCTCTGATATAAAGCAAGGTTGACCGTATCCATTCCAATGCAACATTCACATCTGTGATGGTGTGCAACACTATTTCTGCATTTAAATGCTCAATAAGATGTCTGTGCAAACTAATGAAAAAAAATCTTTGTATTAGCTATATTATTTCAATGGCATACATTTTTAACTATAATAATGTAGTCAATAATTCAATAATTTAATAATATATTCATTGCTACTTTAATACTTCATGAAAAATAACTTAATTTTCAATATGTAACACAAAACCCTAGAAAACAGTTCAACTTTTAAAAGATTACAGAATTCTCTCTACTCCATAGCTCCAGAAGACAGATTGTTGTTTTAGAAGTGGGTGGAGAATGAGAGAGTTCAGCAAAATTATCAGCAGAGTAAAGATTCTAATTTCACCTCTTCCACAAATGCACAACCAAATTATAACAAAACAAGGTCAGTATCACCTGACAGATAAATAGGTGACCATCACATACATCAAGAAAAATAGTGTAGCAAAAGAAGACTATAATAACTAGACTGTTTGCAGTAATACCAGGGCAGTGCAAACCACCAGAAGGCTGCTGCACAGAGCTCCTCTGCTGTTGTTAACTCAGGGACAAGTTACAAGGATTATAGACACTGTCAAGTAGGATTTATCCCATGGAAAAATGGATGGTTTAATGTATATCTGTCAAACAATATAACCTACATCAACAAGCATAAAGGTAAAAATCATATAATAGCAATAGATACAGAGAAAACACTGAATAAAACTCAGCACCCACTTTTGACAAAACCGCTAAACAAGATGGGACTAGATGTAACCTACCTAGATATAACAAAGGCTATAAAGTACAAACCTACAGCCAACATAATAATGGTGAAAAATTGAAGGTTTTCCTTGTAAGGTGCCAGTGACAATACAAGGATGCCCACTGAAACTACTTCTATTTAATTTAGCTTTATAGTGCAATCACACAACAACAGTAAATAAAAGGAATCCAGCTTGAAAAAATAAGTGAAACTACCCTTATTCACAGATGACATAAAACTGTATATGAAAGGTCAGAAAGATTCTGCCAACAAAACTAATGAAAACAGTAAGCAAATATATAGCAGAGGAACAAAATCAACATAGAAAAACCTATTGCATCTTTATAAAAAATAAATAAGAAAATAATTTCACACATAATTGCCTCAAAAAAGAATCAATATTTAAAAATTAGCTTAACCTCAAGAAGGTGAAGAACTCATACAATAGAAACTATAAAACTTTATTAACAGATTTAGATCATCACATAAGGAGGTTGAGTGATATTTCATTATCATAAATGGGGAGAATCAATATATTGAAAATGACAGTTCTATCAAAATACTAATAGTATTCTTCACTGAAATTAAACAAAAAATATTAAATTAATATGGAATTATAAAAGACCTCAAATACCAAAATCAATACTGAGAAAAAAATGGAAAAACAGAAGAATCACATTAACTGACTTTATATGATAAAGTCATGGCAATTAAAACAATATAGTATTGGCATAAAAATAGATACACAAGGGAACAGAATGGAGAGTCCAGAAATAAATCCATATTATATCAATATTTAATTTACAATAAAGGAGCCATGATCACACATGGGAAAAGGAGAGTCTCTAACTAGTGGCAGTGGAAAAACAGAATAGCCACATGTAAGAGTGACCTGGATGACTCTAAATCCTTACACAAAAATAAATTCTAAAGGATTAAAGACACATATAAGACCTATAACAATAAATACATGGGAGGAAATATTGGCAATACATTTTATGATATAAATAACAATGATGGTTTTGGAGATTTGACCCCTTATGTCAAAGGGGAAAAAAGCAAAAATAAACCATGTCTGTAGTGGATTACCTCAAATTAAAAAAACTTTAACACAGGAAAGAAAATATAAATAGTTTAACTAGGCATCCTTTAGAATGGGAGAAAATACTTACATATTAAACAAGATATCAAAAAAGATAGTCAATTTAACATTAAAAAAATCAAATAAGCCTGTTAATAAATAAATAGTAAGTAGATGACTGGATTAAAAAGATGTGGTACATATATACAATGGAATATTACTCAGCAACCAAAAAAAGAAACACATGTCTTTTGTAGCAACTTAGATGGAGCTGGAAAAGATCATGCTTAGTGAGATAAGCCAGAAAGAGAAAGAAAAATACCAGATGGTTTTGCTCATAGCAGGAGTATAATGGACCAGGTGAGAAAATAATAGGAATAATGAACAGCCATATACCAGAGACATTTTGTGGGGGTGGAGTGGGGAATGGGATCAAAAAGGGGGGGGGGGAAGTGCATGGGACTATGGTGATGGCATATGGGTGACTCGGTGATGGGAAACCCACTGGGATTACAATTGAGATTAAAAAAAAAGTATAAAATGATGTAAAAATAAACTGTTATATTATTAAAAAATAATAATAAATCTTAGAAAGAAAGAAATACACACAAAAAATACTTGTTTCAGAAACAATACAGTAATCTTCTAACATCTGCCTGTGAATGGAAATACTTGGTTTATTTACATCTAGAGGATCTTTATTTCTGAGATCAGATACAATCTATGTGTGAGAAATGCAAGAAATTAAAAAAAAATTATGTTAAATAAATAAATAGTAGATCTGAGGAAACAATTCACTAGAGCATATCCATAGACACATGGGAAAATGTTCATCATTGCTTTTAATAAGGAAGATAAAATGATGCATCATTATTATTTTGACCCACATCTCCCTTATTAAAAATGAATAACATTTTTCCTTGCAAATCAAAACCACAATGGAATATCATCACATACACATGAGAATGGCACATACTAAAAACACACACATGTGTGAATGTAAACTGGTATAGCCACTTTGTAAAATGATATGATTTTACTTAAAATCCTAAAACTGGAAATACCATGTGGCCCACTAATTCCATTCTTGGCTACCTGCCAAAGAACATGAAAACCAACAACTAAAAAATAACATCCTATAAATGTCTCCTGCAGCATTATTTATGATAGTTAGGACACAGAGACTATCTAATTGCTCAATGATAAAGGACTGGATCCAGAAGATTTGGCATATCCACACAATGGAAAACTATCTAGCTATAGATAAAATGTTGCCATTTCCCATGTGTCTATGGATAATACAATACAATACAACAAGGTGGAATGAGTTCAGGTGATTACGCACAGTAAAGCAGGTTAGAATGACAAAGACAAATACTGGCTATTTACTGCAACTGAGTCAACAAAGCAAAATACCTACAAAAACTAGCAGATACTAATCAATGAAGTAAGGTTTCTGAGGTGGTGGGGGACAAATAAAAATTATCAAAATATGCGTATGACCATACATAAATAAATCAAAAAGGGTAGGCAGTGAATATTATCCTATTTTCTAAGAATATTATTATTAAATACTTTACTGAAAGATCCCAGCTTGGCTACCTATCTTTTAATAAACAAATTTTTAAATATAAAGAGATGTGAATATCATATACCTCCTACTATTACTAATTTGACTTTCTAGAATATGATTACATGCTAAGAAACACTGCAGAATAAAATGACTATGCTTTTTTTAACTCTTAAATTTCTTAAAAAGATGCAAACTTCCTTGTTAAATTATTGAAAATTTCAAGAAAATGGCCTCAGAAAATCCCTAACCAAATCTCTTTTAATATATCAAAAGGAAATGTATAAGATATATTAACATTATCTTTTTATAATGTGTTATTACCTGCTTTCTACAGTGTCACTGCAAGCTAACATCTGAATGTACTTCTCTCTTGTATTTAATCGAGTCATAATAACCGCAGTAGCTGTAGTGTCAAACTGGAAACACAGACACAGAGATATTTAATAGAGAAGAATACCTGTTGATACCAGTCCTCTTCACTAACTCAAGACTTACAATTTATAATAAACAATTCCCTTGTCTTAAGCAATGATCAAAAATGCAGTTTCATGCTTCTGAAATAGACTGTTAACTAAAAATCTAATTTAAATTTTTTTCAAGATCATAGACATCAATATTTGGTTTCAATGTAACATAATTTTGGCAAAGTCAAACTTAATTGGATTAAAAAATGTATGCTTTAGAGTAGTTTACATATAATCTAATTTATCAAATAAAAACTCAAGATTTCTATAACAGTATTTTGACATTCTTTGAAAAGATGTCTTTCTAAAGGTTCACTTAGTATTATTGATGAATGCCTTTTGCTTTCAAGTATTTGTCAGGGTAGGGCATGCTTTGTAATATATGTTAGGTGATTTTTAATTGTCACAATAGCTACAGACCCCTTATGGCATTTTGTGCTAGGACCCAGGGAGACTACAAATGCTGCAATGCATGGCAATCCAATACAAGGAAATACTGACCCATACAAAATATTAAAGCAACCCATTAAGAATAAAAAACAAGACAAAAATAAAAAGGCTTAAAACTAGAAAAGCTTCTAATATCATACACCTTCATAAGCCCTACCACTCTTCAACCAGTGGTGAGTAGGGAATCAATCTCTTTTGGTAATACCTGTTTTACTTCTTGCATTAAAGTAGATTTTTCTTCAATTACATTTATTTGTAAACCTAATCTAAATATCAAATATTACAAATTAATGAAATACTGATGTTAATAAAGTGATCAAAAAATAAATACAAAGGTTTTGATGGTTTTTACCATGTCTTTAAAATTATAGAAAGTAAAATATCATCACTTACTTGAGGTCGCCCAGCTCTACCAATCATCTGCAGAATATCTGTTTCACTGTACTCTTCAAACATTCCTCCAGAATAATGCATTGTAGATTTTATAACTACTAGATGAGCAGGCAAATTTACTCCCATTGCTAAAGTACTGGTAGTGACTGCACCAAATTAAGAAATATTACTTTCAAGTCATTTAACTTTACTTTTCTTATAAAAGCTATATATAGGCCCTCCCTGGTGGCGCAGCGGGTTAAAGCACTGCTCTAAGAAGCTTAAGCTACTTCCGCATGAGTTCGATCCCGGCCTGCCCCGGAGGAGATCCACATGGCGCAGCAGACCTCCTCTGACCCGCCCGCTGGTCCCCTCAGCAGCATCTGCACCCCCCTCATCTGCCTGTTCTGTACCCCACTCTGTCCCTGGTGAATCCTCTCACCCTCCGCATCTCTGGCCTGCACTCCATTTCTGTATGAATAAATAAATAAATCTTTAAAATATATATATATATGTATATATATTTTAAAGATTTATTTATTTATGCTTACAGAACTGGGGTACTGGCCAGAGGCTTAGGGGCGGCGAGAGGCTTCACCAGAGACAGAGTGGGGAGCAGAATAGGCAGATCGACAAAGTACACTGCTGAGGGGAGCAGCGGGGGGGTCAGGAGAGGTCTGCCACGCCATGTGGTCACCTCCGGGGCAGGCAGGGATCGAACTCATGTGGAAGTGGCTTTAGTGCTGTGCTTTAACCCGCTGCACCACCAGGGAGGGCCTATATTTTATTTTTTTTTAAAGATTCATTTATTTATGCAACAAGAATTGAGGTATAGGCAGGAGGTATGGGAGCGGAGTGAGAGAATTCACGAGAAATAGAGTGGGGAACAGAACAGGTAGACTGACTGAAATACACTGTAGAAGGGATCATCAGGTGAGACAGGAGAGGTCTGCTGCACCATGTGGGTTCCCTCCCTGGCCGGGAATTGAACTTGTGCTACAGTGGCTGTGGACAGCTTCATAGTGCTGTGACTTAACCCCTGTGCCACGAGGGAGGCCCCTAAAAGCTATATTTTAATTAATGAAATAAAAAACTAGCAAATAGGCAACTTTCTAAGAGGAAGAAAAAGTGTCACAATATAAAAACAAAACATCCTAAAACCAAAAAGATATTAAATTCTTATTTTTCAAGTTATACTACAGTTAGTAACATGATAAAGAACTAAAACTGCCAGAATTACTATACCACATAAATGCACAGGTAATTACATAATTTTTTTAGATTTTTGGAATAAATGCAAAAATAAGGAAACGAGCTTTTTCCCTTTTTTCCCCTCTAAAAAAGGTTTTCCAAAATATACTTAATCCACAAGAAAATGCTTTACTTACAAAGAACTGGTAAATCTCCAACAGCAAAAGCTTCTTCAACTAGTTTTCTATCTGATAACTCCATACCAGCATGATGAAAAGCAACACCATGTATTAAGATATCTATAACAGAAATACATCATCTGTTATGTATTATAAAATCTCATCAATAACTAAGTTTATCTATACCAAAATTTCATTCAAAATGCTTTTCAAAAATTATCTGTAAACCTACCTCTCAGTTTTGTATCTCTTATGGAATTTGCACACCTCTGTAATCTGTTTAAAAGTACCACAAGATTATTGAGTTACTCCCATTAACATCAAAATCTCTAAAATAGTTTATTATTTCAGACTATTAAAATGAATTTTTTTCATAATATCATTATTTGAAAACCTTCATTAAGCCATATAGAATGTCTAATTTTCAACAGTCTGGACTATTAGCTCAACATTACTTTATATAGGTATTACAGGCCGTATTAAGGACTTACGATGGTCTCATATTGACAACAAGAAACTTTTAAAGAATTTTAGGCTGAAAACTCACATGTTTAGATCTTCAATCTGTAATAATCACACTGCTATGTAGGTAATAAGGCAGTATAAGAGTTGTGTAGGCATCAGATAAAAAGCAAGAGATTAATAGTGACTTGAACTAGGAACCTAGCAGTGGTGATGAGGATAAAAGGATATATTTAGGATATACTTAGAAGTAAGAATAAACAGGATTTGTAATTGATTGCCTACCAGGAAGACTGTTGGGGGAAATGTTTATAATAGCTTTCTGCCATGAGTAACTAAGATGTCAATTAGGCAGATGTACTACAGATCTGGTGCACAGAAGTGTATTTGCAGCAATAAATTTGGGTATTCACAAACACATATAACTATGTGTACATATATTCTTTGAACCCATACGATATATACGAATACCTAGAGGTATAGAAATAAACCTTGGATAAAGTCCCTTAGGATTAACATTTAAGAGTTAGGTAGCAGAGTGAAAAGGGGACCGAGAAAGAACAAGCAGCGAAGTAGAAAGAAACCTGGTAGAAAATGATCATGGAAGCACAGCATCCATTCTTTAAAATAAGGTAGGAGTGGTCAAATATTTTAGAGGCAACTGAGAAATCAATTATCAAGCTCAGGTTTCCTAAAAAATTAACAACAAATACAGGATTCAAAGTGGGTAAAAGAATAAAAATAGTAAGAACAATCTTTCAATAAATTAGGCTATGAAATAAAGATAGACCACAATTACAGTTAAGATTCATTATCTTACTCAGTCCTCCAATTACTGTTAATGTTTATTTTACAAATGATGAAAGTGACACTTGAAGGTGAAGGAACTTGAAAGGGTTAAGGAATAAATCCAATTTCCTCATCACATTAGATGATCCCTAAAAGTCTTTCTACCTTCAAGAAAAAATTTTAAAATATACCTTTGCTTTTGTTCCACAGTCATAATAAATTTAGCATCTTTCACAAGAACTAAGGAAGCCTGCTGCACACCTTTTCTTGTTGCACAGAACTGAAAATGAGTGAATAATGTCAGCATTAATCATATTAAAAATAGAACATTACACTAAAAAAAATAAGCAACCAACAATCCATACCACAAGTGTGGGTTTCTGATCAGAATATGTCTGTATAATACTGGCAATTTTGTAGTTGAGGGTTAAATCAAACTTAAATTCAGTTTGATTACTACTGCAGGGAAATCCAAGGACCACCTTCCGAAGTTTCACAGGTCTATGACTCTCATCCATTTTCAAGCATACAGCAGGTCTCTCACCATCTGAAAGCCACTCTGCAATCTTTAAATAATAGAAACATTAAAAGTTTTTCTACTGGAGTTTTACAGCTAAAATAAACCCAAGTGTGAAACAATTTAAGGTCAAGTTATAAAATTTTTTAATCAAGGAGTCTTTTTCAACATTACTTAGTCCACAAACATGATTTTATTAATACAACAATATGAATAGTAACAGCAGCAATTCAAAATCATAACCACTTTTCACCACGGTAAGTTTCCAGTTAATTATTGTAATTTTGTTTTATTTTCCTTTTCATGATCCAAAGTAAAATTAAAATTGATTCTGGCAGGGAAATTGAATTTCTTACCATCACTGCAAATTCTTTGCTACTTTTCATCTAGATATGCCTGATACTTCTTTTATGTTGTCCTAAATACTAACTAATGAATAGCAAAGAAATGAGTGGCTTAGGTGGACAAGAGTTGGCAATTTTTAAAAAGGATGTATAAACACTTTAGAGATAGCAATGCCAAAAACACTTTTTAGACTAATACTAGCTTTATTAGCTAATTTTTGGAGCTGTGGTGAGCGATCTTTGTCTTCACATAACCAGGTTGATGTCTCAGATTTTTGCCCTAAGGTCACACTGACTACTGCTTTGACAAGAAGATGGATTAATGAGTTTCTATTTGCACAGGAAGGAAATATTAAAACGTTTCTACCCATATATGAAAAGGACAAACACTGGGTTTTGCTGCTTTATATATTTAATTATTTTTCTATTATCCTTTAATATGAAAAAAAAAACATGTTTTTCTCAAATCAAGAAAATTATTTAATTGTGCCATTTAAAAATTTTTAAAAATTCCCTTTGGGTTAGAAATATAGCACTTATTTCTAAAAAGAATTTCTAAGTAGTATATGGGGAAAGTCATATTTAGTAGGTTGAGAACTAAACAGGAGTGAGTATAGTTTTACTATTTTTAACCGTCTGTCAAAAAAAGAAAAAAAATCAGACATTTATTTATTATAGGAAGCATAATACAGCCCACAATTATATGTCCATGTACCTCATGTATCTCATGATCCTCCTGAAGGGTAAGAATGTATGTTTTTATTGTGCATCTACCATTAATACTTAACACAATGCCAGGCACACAGAGTTGGAGGAAGCAGGTGGCAATCATCTAAACAATTATTCTTATTGTCCACAATACTTTGATAGATAACTAGAGCTAGTGGGTTACAACAATCATAACATATTATATGTTATTCAGGCTATTACAAGAGAGCTACAATCCACAAAACCAACAGTTTTAGATACTAGCAGGTTAGCCAAATTTTATGGCCTTCTTGCTGCCATACCTTTAAGATCTAAACCACAACTCTCCACACGTAAGTCTGTATAAATTGGTTAACTGATTAAAAAACATCATCACTTGGCCCTCCCTGGTAGCACAGTGGGTTAAAGCACAGCACTAAGAAGCTAAAGCCACTTCCACATGAGTTCGATCCCCTCCTGCCCCGGAAGTGACCACATGGTGTGGTAGACCTCTCCTGACCCACCCGCTGCTCCCCTCAGCAGTGTACTTCGTCGATCTGCCTGTTCTGCTCCCCACTCTATCTCTGGTGAAGCCTCTCACCGCCCTGAGCCTCTGGCCTGTACCCCAGCTCTGTATGCACAAATAAATAAATCTTAAAAAAAAACAAAAAACAACATCACTTTTCTCTAAGATTAAAATGACTATACACTTCACTAGTTACAAAAAAAATCTGATGAACTAAAATTACAACTTACATCCTCAGCATTTGGAATTGTTGCAGATACTGCTACAAATCTCATTGGAATAACGAGGCTGGTATTTTCTGAAGTATGAGATAAAGACTGTACAGTTTTCATTCTGCTGACTACAACTTCAAGAGTTGGACCTCGATTTTCATCTTTTATAATATGTACCTAAGAAAAATTTTTTTACAAGAATCATTAGCTACAAAAATAAAAATCTATTTCACCAACTGAAATGTGTAATAGCAACACTTCCTTGAGAACATTAAAATTTAATCTTTGAAGGGATAAAATAAAATATCGCTGTTGAAAATGCTTGTTTCTTTCTATCCATTCTAATCACCTTTTTATGTTTCTCTCTGAAATGAAAAATGTATTCAGTACCTCATCAATGAGAAACAGCCGAACCAACTGGACCAAGGAATTATCTCTCCATTTCCTAGTCATGCTATCCCATTTTTCCTACAGAAAAAAGTACAAGTGGTTTAACGTTATAATGAATTATAAATATTATTAAGACTTCAATAAGCTTTTAACATGACACATTACAAATGATGAACAATATTTTAAAATTATCCTGAAAAATATTTAAAGATCACAAATATTTAGCAGAACTTGACAGGTTTACAAGTGTTTAAAAAAAGAACCGTCAATTTATTTTAAGTTATGCCAAAAGTATCTCAAATTATAATCTAATCACTTCTTTTAAAGTTCTTCCAGGTCCTCATCTCCTTCTATAAATATAATTCTTGGGTGAAAGAATACAAGTAATAAGTATGTGCAAATTATCAACAATAACAAATTACCTATTTAAATCTTTTGCCTATTTTTCCTGTTGTCTTTTATTTATTTGTAAGTATTCTTTATACACCCTAAATACTAGTACTCTTATGTCTGTTTGTTCATTCACCTTGCAACTATCTTCTTCTAATTTGTATTTTAACTTTTTCATGCTTAAGAGGAAAATAGATATTTTCTAATAAATCAAGGAAATAATAAAGTATAAATAACACTTACTGGAGTTGTCATAATAATATGGGCATGCTGAATCTCAAATAGATCATCCATTACTGTATCTCCAGTGAGTTCTTTGCAATTCAATCCTATTGGTCCAAATTTTCCTTTCCAGTCATCAAAACGCTGACTACACAGGGCTTTTATTGGTGCCACTATAAGAATATAAGGTACGTTCAATGTCAGTACAATTTAAAAAATTTTCCACAAATATTAGTTAACAAAGTTAGGCTCACAATACATCTCCAGGTGCTATCTAATATTGATAAAAATTAAAAGTTAACAATATAAAAATTTTAGAGATACAGAGTTGATAATGACCAACCAGACCAAAGTTTTGGGGGGAAAGTGATTACTCAGGAATTGCAACTATGAATGAAGAGAGGCAAGGCAAGAAATCAATGCTTTTCATTATAAGTCCTTTGTAATCACAAAGTGACTTTTTAAAAGACACATAATTTCATATATTTTTTTACATACACAGTTATCAAAGAGGTTCTAATAACATGTTTGATTTTATTTGCTCATCTTGTCTGTCCTTTTAAAAATAAAAATGTAGGCCCTCCCTGGTGGCGCAGCGGGTTAAAGCACAGCACTGAGAATCTAAAGCCGCTTCCACATGAGTTCAATCCCCGCCTGCCCTGGAGGTGACCACATGGCGTGGC